ACCCCAACATACACAGACGAAGGGGGAAGGGAAGAGACAGAGGGAGAGGAGAAGATGGGAGATATCGTCAACTCCAAGTCTGCGTCACAGGTCCCAAATAATCCTCAACGAATGTCTGTATCCCGGAATCAAGTCTGATGACAATGTCGTCATGTCCCATGTCAAAACTCCATCTCGTAGCCCATAGACGCTGAGAGGCAGGCAGCGGGAGGGGAAGAAGAGATGGTGGACTTAGAAGAGGAAGAAGAAGGTCTCTCTCTCTCTCTCTCTCTCAGTCCAATACCAACCTGTAAAACTGGCGTTTTGATGCAGGTACACCGCGGATGGAGCTGGAGCGATGGCGCCACAGGTAAGTACCACTGGCCTCCGCCAGTGTCTCTCTCCGATACTGCTACCCTGCCCTATAGCGCCCAGCGCTGAAGGCGACAACTATGGCTATGGCGCCCAGCGCCGAAGACTACTCCTAGCGCTACCACTACTGCCTAGCGCTGAAGACTACTGCAGCGCTCCTCCTGAGTGCTGCGGCCGAAATCCTGAAGACTACAAGTGCCTACTGACCACTGCCTCCTGCAGGGCGGGCCAGTCCTTTATAGTGCTGGCCCGTGCAGGAGGCTGGCCGTGCCAATGCCTCCCTGGCCTAGACCCTGCGAGTTTCCATATAGGGAAACAAGTTGGAGGTCCGGGACGGGCCCTGCAGGGTCCGTGTGGCTGCACAGTATGCCACAGCCTCGCAGTCAATCTCGGCAACAGAAATCAGCAAGTCATTGCACAAACCACAGTGTTTGCCCTTGAGTCCCCCCTTCGACAAAATACCCAGCTCCCGAGGGCCATGCGCTTTTCAACCACAACATACCTCATTTTTCTTCAAAGCGCCAATTGCTCCCGGCGTCTCTTCCCCAATCCGAGATTGCTTTTTCTTATCTTTTCCGCTTACTATTGCGGAATTTTAGCCCGGTCCTAAGAAATGGAGGCAGCGTGGCGGCGCGCAATTTACCTGTGGCTGCCAACCTCTGTGGGATGGCCACTCCGGGCATTTCCGTGGCTTAAGCTATAGGCGAAGGGCCCTAGAATCATCCTCACGTTCAACAGTGGTGGTCCTTGTCCGCACCGATGTCTCCATCCTCACGTTCAACAGCGCCGGGAACCGGAACGTCCGTAGACACACCAAAGTTTCGTACATCCCCCGCAGCAGCATTGTCTTCGTCAACATTCGCCGATCCCCCGTCTGTTGCCCCCCGCCCTGTGGCTGGTTCCTCGACCGCAGGTCGCCGGTGAGGAGTGTGTTGTGCGCCCAAGACTGTGCTGGTGCCATGAACTGAAGCCACACCACCGGCCGCGCAGCTGCGCAGTCGTGTACGGGCACTAGTGTCGTCCATCAATGACACCGTAGCAACCGCCGAAGGGCCACCGGATGCAGGGCCAGCCAGCGGCGTGATGTCGACATGTGTCGTGGAACATGACCCGCCGCCCGACCGCCTGCCAAACCGCTTGTCTGTGAGGTGCACTTCGAGTACCTCATCATCACCATCGCTGTCGTCTTTGTCGTCCTCCTCCTCATCAACAGCAGCAGTGCTCTTCCCACGGTCGTCATCCGCGAGACGGCGAGGGCGGTAGGAAAGATCAAGGAGCCATGCTCCGTCATCCGCCCTCTCCTCCTGAATCTCCCGCACGTCGAATCTGGTACTCTTCGATCTACGCCCTCGAGATTTCGACCAGTTGGCAGCCCTCCTCTTCACCTTTGCGGGGTCGTACTCCCCTTGTCGCATGAAACCGTCGAAAGGAGCGTCGTCCTCGGGTGTCTCCCACTCTAGCTGCTCGGTGTTCACGAATCCCATCTTCGCCTTTGACATGCGCAGCAATTTCTTGTTCCTGTGGATAAAGACGAGCATCTCCAGGTTCTCCGGGCTCAACAGATTCCTCCTCTTCGAGTGAATGAGATCGAACGTGGACCAATTCCTCTCACAAGGAGAGGCTGTGGTCCACATGCTGAGCACTTTGACAACGATCTTCGTCAAGGCTGGGTGCCTCTTCCCATAAGTCAACCACCACTTCGCCATAGACACATGACCGCCCGTCAAAGCCTCCTCAGAGTTCTTTCCCGAACCACTCCGGATCCATGTGATGGAAACTCTTAAGGGAGTTCCAACACTCTTTGTACTCCTTTGAATTCTTCGGGTGAACTGAAGCAAAGTGTGTCAAAGTGTTCGCAATCTCCTCGGAATCCATGTCGTCGAAGAGTCGAGGTGATCGGTGGAGCGGGTGCAACATCCAAGCCGCTGCACGCACAGGCAGAGCCATCATCCGCACACGGTGTTTGACCTTCGCCATCACGAACTCCCTTGTCTCGCAATCCATGGGTAGCACGGCCATTCTCTTCTCCAACGTGATGCCCAACGACCACACACCTGCATACCCCTCCTCCCATTTCTGTCCATGTTCTTCATCAAGGTGAAAACGGGCTCAAGCAAGGTGCATGCCCTCTCCACGGTCAACCACCAAGCAGGGTCTCGTATGAGCTCCTTGCACGACCATGCCCGTGTCACTGCTGTCCCGTCCCATGGAGAGTCAGCCCACCGCGGGTTGGAAACAGTGTGCAGCAACACGCCCTCATACTCCCGAAGTCGCTGCAGCATGAGGAAGTTTGTGCCAAATCTAGTCTCCCCCGGCTGGATCAACTCCATCGGCCTCCCTTCTTTGATGTTCATCCGTGTCCTGTACTCCCTCCCACTTTTCCGGAACATCGCCAATGCCCATTGATGTCTCTTGATGAAGGTTGTGATCTCCCTGCCCTGCAAAATCACCTCCCCGACCCATGACATCGAAGCAAGGTCAGACATGAGCAAGTTGCACACATGGCATGCGCACGGCACCCATTGAATGCTACTGATCGCAGGGTCCTCGTGCTCAGCCAAAATCTTCCTGGCAGCAATGTTGACCTGTGCTGAGTCGGTGCAGATGGCGTTGACCCTATGCACCCCCAACTCCCTTATGATTTCCTCCCACATCCTCGCCAAAGTCGGAGCCGACTTGCCCTTCCCCTCCATGTCCACACTCTTCACCATGACCGCCCCCGAATCGCCAGCTGCAATGAAGTTCATGACCGGCCTGTTGCTGGTCGTTGTTGTGCCATCCGTCATCAAGGTGAGGCCTGTGACATCCCACGGCTCTCGGATGTTGTCCAAATCATTGTCCACCACTTTGTACTCCGCGGGCAGGGCCTTCGTCCTCAAGTAGTTGTACCCAGGCATTCGCAAAATCTTCCTCGACCTCGCTGCCAGGTTCATGATCCTTTCCAAGTTCTTGTACGAGTCTAACCGCGCGGCATTGAAGGCGATGGCATTCTCAAAGAAGAACGAACTAACCCCCTGGTCGAACTCCTTCTGCAACTCATCCACTACGTAACTGGTCATGGACGACTGCTGCACACCCGATGGAGGTCGCGGAGGGCGAGCGGCAGCCAGAACGGGACCCCGCAGGTGCTCAACAATCCCCGACGAGAGGTCAGGCCCCCTGGAATCCGAAGCGGCTGCATAGGCAACTGAATCTGCCCTCTCCCGCCGTTGAGCAAATGTCGAATCATAACCGACACCACCGCCTTGCCCCCCTGTTGAACCTGTGTCACGGCCACCGTCTCCCACTACCGACGACGTCTCGGGCTTTCCCGATGCACCGGCTCCATCACCCGATGCAAGATCCTACGGATCCTTAACATCTGCCAGACGGCCCTGTAAGTCGTAGTACTCGTTCAATTTCACCACCAGCGCAGGGAGCAATTTCACCTTCGGGTGCTTGATCCGAATCACAGAAAGAATCTCACCGGTGGTACGGGGACAGCGGGCATTGGCCGACGTTTGGGTGTGGTGATTCACGACTTTGCTGAGCGTGCCGACGAACTCTTTGTTGCACAGACTGCACCGCAACCTCCACGAGCTGTGCGACGTGCCGGTCGTCACCTTCTGCCCTCTCTCCGCCCATTTCCAAAGCTCCAACTGGCTGAGCGTGCGTTCTCTCTCAGCACCTGTCTCAGGCTCGGACGGTACTCGATTGCCCGCCATGGTGGTCGCAGTGGAGGTCCGAAAAAAAAAAAAAAAAAACAGAGGTGGGTGATGGTAGGAGGAAGAAGAAGAAGAGGAAGAAGAAGGAGAGAAGATGGAGATGAAGAAGAAGAAGAAAAAGAAGAAGAAGAAGAAGAAGAAGAAGAAGAAGAAGAAGAGGAGGAAGAAGAAGAAGAAGGTGGAGAGAAGATGGATATGAAGAAGAAGAAGAGGAGGAAGAAGAAGAAGGGCTGGGAGGTGTGTGGCACTGCGTGCGCCAGGGGTGGCAAACGTGTGGGAGCCAGCAGTAGGTCGATGTGGCTCAGTGGTTAGAGCACCGGTTGGAAATGCGCATTGTGGTATGAGGTTGCGGGTTCAAAACTTTATTGCAACCTTGCACATGGACACCGGCAGGGTGTTAGATTGACGCACGGCTGGACATACACTCAGTTTCCCGCATACAGAAACTGAGGTTGTGGTTGGAAAGTAATGCAAGTTATTGGTTCAAGTCCAATCGTCTCCAATTTCCCCGTGAGCCCATGTAGCTCAGGTGGTAGAGCATTCCCTTGGCAAGGAAAAGGCCTCCGGTTATATCCGGTCGTAGGCTCTGAAAACTTGAAGTCGTTTGTCCAACCTGAAATCAACGGAACCAAAGCACTGATGAGTCCGTGTACAGCGGAACCTTTGTGAGATTGTATTACAAAACGAGTTTGCGAAAGAAGTGTTTCCTGTGCTTTCTTGGACGGAACAACTCTGCTGACGAGCCCATGGAATTCAGACGCGAAGAGTCTGCTGTTCGAGCCTTTGCCAAAGTGGGCTGACGCATGGTACTATTACAGGCACTGCCTGCGCACCACCCAAGGGATGTTCATGGTGTTGTATGCCGGTTCTGGGTGTCACGTGGGTTGCTTGGGAATGTTGGTCTTGGGTGTTCTGTTGATCTCACCAGTCYGACACACCACACGTTCGTYSCATTTCCGCTAGTYGTTCACATGGTAGAGTCRTTCGATTACACGTTACAAGGTCACGGGTTCGAGCTTGGCTCGGACATTTGGGGGGTCCTTGTCCAGCTTACCCCGTTCGCTCTTCAATAGACACACATGATAAGGCCTATACATCTCGATACATTGATTCACAGAGCACACACAGCCTTTGGGCATACTATACATAGCTTGCGAATTATATATGGCCTACGGGCTACATACACAAGTTTCCACACATGGTGCTGTATGTACATCTTGATACATAGATACACGAAGCATACATAGCCTTCCGGTACACACATCGTTTGCGAACTACACAACTATCTGACTGGGGGGCTCTAGTCACTGGTGGGGTCTAGTATCTGCAGTAGGGACAAAAAAAAAAAAAAAAAAAAAAAAAGAGGAGCGCGGGCAGGAGGCGGGGAGGGGGGGTTATCGCGCAAGGGGGGAAGGAGGAGGACACACAGTGGGGATTGGATGTTGTATGGATGGATGGCAGATGAGATGAGATGAGATGAGATGAGATGGGATGATGTGCACCCACCTGACACAGCAAGTGGGAGACACCGTACTGCACCCACCTTCGCTGCATATAGGGCAGCACACCACACCCACCACAGCACACAACAGCACAAATGGGATGATGTGCACCCACCTCACAAAGCAAGTTGGAGACACCGTACTGCACCCACCTTCGCTGCATATAGGACAGCACACAACAGCACACCACGCCATGTCACTTGTGTGCGTACCCTTGAGCCTCATACACCAGGCAACCAGCGACGAGGCGCTCCTACCTGATCGTAATCAGCAACTACCGTCTCTTCACCCAACTAGAATGCCCCGTCATTATCGCTGCATCTGGACCAAAAGTTGTGCCAAATACAGCTATAATGACCGGGCGTTCTATTCGGGTGAAGACGGTCGTTGGTAGATTGTGTGCTGCTGCTTAGCTGTACCTGTACCTGTACCTGTACCTGTACCTGTACCTGTACCTGTACTTGTACCTGTACCTGTACCTGTACTTGTACCTGTACCTGTACCTGTACCTGTACCTGTAGCTGTTACTAGTCGTTGTGAATATCTCAGAGAGAATGTGTGAAGATGCCAGTCGGACCTGCTTCAATTCCAGCGACTGCTACCGTCTTCCCCGAATAAAACGCCCAGTCATTATCGCGGCATCTGGTCTGAAAGCTGCCCACAATACAGCTATAATGACCGGCCGTTCTATTCGGGTGAAGACGGTAGTGAATGCCAGCAGAGTCGGCCTGTAGAATAAGATTTCATGGATTGCAAATAGCATATATAGTTGTGGACTATAGGGAGCGAAGGAGGCTTAGCTCCCAATAGTCCCGTAGCAATTACTATTTGCACTGTAGTTCTTAGCAGTGAGAAAGTTGGCAGTTGGCTCCGGCGCTCTGCCTCAACATAATGTCTGCAATGCCATACAGATGTTTGATCTCCTGCTGTGTCATCATTTGGTGGCCTGCTGGCTGTTGCTTTTGGGCATTGGTTTCAGGCCAGTCGTTTGGCTGTCGATTTTGCTGTCGATTCCAGATGGTCCATTTTGCTGTTGATTTTTCAGATTTTTCTGCTGTTGTTTTGGAGTGAGGTGTGCAGGGGTGCGCAGGGTTGCTATTGTGCTTTGACATCGAGGCCTCGCCAATTGTTTTGGGGATTGATTGATTTGGCCTTTGGTCCGATGCTGGCTGTTGCTTTCAGAGTCTCAGACCAGTCCTTTGCTGTCGATTCCAGATTGTTCCATTTTGCCGTTGACTTTTCTGCTGTTGTTTTTGAGTGTGCTGTGCAGGGTTGCTATAATTGTGCTTTGACATGGAGGCCATTCTTTTGGCGATTGATTTGCCCTTCGATCTGAGCAGTGATGTGGCTGTCAGTTTGTCAGTTGATTTCACCATCCAATGCATCCATCCATTTGAGGCCTAATAAATAAATAGAACTCCCAAAAATGTGCTTAGTTGTATTTTATATATGCCTTCCACGATTCAGACCCCAAATTCGAGTTTCGGGGTCAGAGGCCTGGGCCAAGAAAGGCCAAGCTGGTCATTTTCAGAACAGTCACAGTCGGGTACCTTAGCAGTCAAGTCCAACAGGCACCGGGCAAACAGTCACATCTCAGGGGTAAAATCACGTCTCGTAATGAAAAGTCATGTTGGAAAGTCACATCCCACGGGCAAAGGACACTTCCACAGGCAAGAGTCGTGTCCCAAAGGCAGGCGTCACAAACTACAGTCAAAAGCCATGTGCCACAATCGAAAAGTCGTGACTCAAAGGCCCAAGCAGCAGCACACCAATGAAAATTCGGGAAAAGTACCAGGCCCTGACATTCGAAACCAAACAGGCCGTGGGGATGTGGTACCGGAACCAAGTCAAGGCCCAAGAAGCAGAGGCTGGCACGAGTTGAAGCTCTGTCCAAGACAATATAAGGACTGACCAGCCTCCTCATTGGGCAGATTGCTCATTCACATGAAGTGTGGAAGTGCTGGTGCACTTGTGCGCTATTGTGAGGGGCGAAGCGCTGAGCCAGGGAGCTGTGCTAGTAGAGGGAGAGAGAGAGGGAGCAGCGATAGCTGCCCAGCGCTGGCAGAGGGAAGGCAGCCATAGCTGCCCCAGTGCTAGTAGTTGGTAGCAGACCTTAGAGGGGCTAGTAGAGTTAGCAGTGGGTGTATTCAAAGTTGGTCCTTGAGTAGTAGAAGGTGTGAGTGCATGCAAGTAGGGAGAGAAGACAAAGGGAGGAAGTAGACAGAGAGAAGACCAAGAGAGAAGAGAGAAGAGCATCGGAAGAGATACTTACCCGAGTGGAGATACTGGTTACTTGGGTTCGCGCTGTTGAGCGCCTGTGACTGAAACTCTTAATTGCTTTTTTATTTATTTTTTTAATTCCTGGCTCCTTCTATTCTGGGGAGCGTCAGTCCGGTTCCTATTCCACCGGCAAGTCGGAATTATACACAACAATTAAGACACACTCACACTTCCTTCCGTCTGGCCGAAGGACCCCTGAGCAGCATTGATTACTCCGTCTTGACGGAGGATTGACTGTCAGCTTCCCATGACACCCTCTCTCCTCTCAGACCTGGTGGCTAGATCTGTCAGATGGTTCTATATTCCTAGAAAGAGTTTGCCCGGTTGTCTTGTCTGTCCCTTGTACTTCCTTTTATCCATCCTTACTCGAGAGCCACCCTGTCCCCTGCCCGAAATTTCTCTACCCTGTCTGAAAATCCATTAAACCCTTAATCCCTAAACCCTCAACTACTATCCTGCTCTATGACACCCTTACTTCTGTCTTATCCACCCCTCGTGGATGTCTGATCATGGAATGTCTTGTCCACCCACAGTTGTCTGTTGCTGGTGAATCCTTCCTGGGGTTGAGTTATGCCACTCTTTCCAGCAAATACGGTCTTCTCGTAACTCCGCAATCTTGCCGTTTATCAACNCCTGGCGCTTTCTTTCTGTGTACAGCGCCAGGCTCCTTCACACCTGGTGATGGATACGATGTATGTTTGGTCTGCGTTCAAACATTGATTGGGCTGGTCATTAGCATTCTAGCATTCTGCTTCGCTATCTGATACTATGTGAATGAGGTCAGTCCCGGTCAGGTCAGGCTTTGTATCTAAGTCTTCCCTGTGCTATTCAGCACCATGATTCTGTAYGTATTAGAATGCACATTGCTTGTTGAGATTCTACTTGCACTGCATTGTCCATTCAGTCCTTGTCATCACATTGCGGATCCTCGGGTTTTATGTACATTGCCCAACTGGGCATGTAACAGTTGGTATCGGTGCACTGCACGCGAATCAGGACAACCTGATCTGACACGTGTGCGGGGACTAGGTAGCTGATTAGCCTTCATTGATTGATTAGAGCACACTAGTTAGCCCCCAAAATCACGATTTTGACCTTACTACCAAAAATCGGAAAAAAAAAATTATCTTCTTGGATTTTGTTTTCTCGCTATTCTGTTGTGGAAAATCGCAATAGCGCAACATCTGAAACTTCCATTTTCGTTTTTCTTCTGAAAATTCGAAATTTCGTTGTTGAAAATCCGGAATATTCTTGTTTTCGAAAATTTCGATTTCCTGTTGCATTTCCTGTTACTTAGAAATCCGGAATATCTTTTTTTCGAATTTCGTTTTTCTGAAAACGGTACGGGAAATCCCTCCTGCAGGTAGTATTTTCCAAACTGCGAATATTCTCATCTGAGAATATCCGAATGCTTGTTATTTCTTTTCGGAATATTTTTTTTTCGCAGTTCTAGGATTCTGTCAGTCAGTTCTATAAATCATTTGCAGTCTGAAGTCGAAAGTTTTTTTCTCTTATTGATCATTTCGCACTTCAAAGGAGGTTGGGAGACCTACTGAACTTGCAAAACTCGGGATTTTATTATTTTGAATTTTTTTTTTTGTTTTGCAAAGTTCAAACTTTTCTTTTTTGATTAGCAGCTCTTTATCTGGGCGATTCTCCCCACCCACCCTCACCACCTATGTTGTTGCCCCCTCTGGCCTTACCTTCTCTATCCATCTCCGGGTACCCCCTGCGACGGCATTGGTGAGTTGCCAAGTCAGCAGGCCACATCATCGGACTACATCAGCAGGACACGCCAGCAGACCACGTCAGCAGGCCGTGTCAGCCGACAGAGCAGGAAATACCACGTCAGCGGGCCCCCGGCCTGGTATATGCTGTTGCGGTCACAGAAAGCCGTCATGGACCAGAGGTCCGGAGAAGCAGACGAGGCCTATCAGGCCCGGGTGCTGGCTTGGAGTACCGAAACAAAGAAACGGGCAGATGACGCAGCTGCAGCAGCGAAGAAGAAGGCAGAGGATGCCGAGCAGGCACGTCTGCTGGCACTTGAACAACAGCGCCCGCATGACGAGGCAGCAGCAAGGGCTGCCGATGAAGAAAGAAACCAATGTCGTGAGAAGATATTCAGCGGAGAACAGACATTGCTCGGAATGGCAGCGGAATGGCGGACCGAGGCCGAGAATGGCAAGTTGGAGGATTGTGAAAACAAGATCGGGCTCCTCCTCTCGCATCTCACAGACCTCCTGGCAACCTGCATTACACAGCAGGAGGGTATCCACAGCCTCGACGACTCGCTAGCTCAAGTACAAGGCCGCCTCCAGCAGCTGGAGCAGCGACCCGTCGCCGCCGCCGATGCAAGCTCTTCCAATACTTCCGATTGCCTTGAAGCATTGGAGATGGACGTCGGCTCCCTCAAGGACAGCGTGCAGTTACTGCAGACCGCAACGCAACAGTTGCAACATCGGATCTGTACTACCGCCAACACCTCGAGTTCGGAACCGCGCGAGACAGCTCCAAAGTTTGACGGGCAGGAGATCTTCTGCGACTCAACGAAGACAGATCCGATTCCATGGTTCCGCAGTTCGAGCTCACGCTGCAGCTACACAACGTCAAAGAACACAAGCACCACGCATACTTGTACTCTCGCTCAGGGGGCGCATGCCAGGCTTGGTTGGACAACCTCTTGTCCAATTACGGAGTGGTAGCTAACGACTTGCACACCAAGATCACTTGGGATGATATGAAGGCAGCATGGCACAAGCGGTTCCAAGTCGAGCCGCTCGAGATCAAGGCTATGGACAAGCTCATGGTCTTCGAGCAAGGGACGCTGCCGAGTATCGGCTGGATCGCTGAGTACCAACGCTTGATGTCAGTCCCACACATCCAGATGGGCTTCAAAGCCATCCGCAACTATTTCATCTCAAGGTCATGTTCGGCATTACGCAATGCCCTGACTCACGTCGAGGACACCTTGACGACGACGGCGGAACTTTTTGACAAGGCCTCGCAGATCATCATTACGAATAAGGAGAAAAAGAATTTGCGTTCGTCTGCGGCAGGCCCGAGCAGAGACCAGCCCTTAGTCCCAATACGGCACCTCCGAGCAAGCATTCAACGCGCGCACGAGATTCCACTATTGCCTATGGTGCAACAGTGATCTTCATCAGACACTGGTCTGCCCATTGAAAGGCAAGGGCAAACAGGGAAACTGAGCACCGCCGAGAGTGACTCGACAACACTCTCGACACCTCCGGAACCGATTTCTTCACGAATAACCGGCCTTCATTCCGAGGCGCATGCGGAAGTCGATAGTCCTCCTCTTCTACTTTCTTTTGAGGACTATGCTGCCTGGCTCGTTCCTACGCTGGGTACTCAAGCTCAAGGACAAGACGTGTGTGCGGCATCTTCTCCGTCCGACAGCAGCGACTTATCGTCTTCAAGTGGTTCTTCAAGGGATTCAACGCGCGAGTTCAACATAGAGGTATTGGACCCGCTCACGTCCGAGGACTTCGCATGGCTTCCTCTCCCGACCACAGCCCGCTTGCCGGGACCGCAATGCGCAGCACTATGCGCTCATCTCCACACTTACTTATCCTTCTATGCACCACCAACTTCGCCGACGGATGACGAAGTCGCGGTGGGGGACATCCTTGCGTATACTACCAAGGTGGCCCGCGAGTTTCGCACGCAGCGGTACGATGACAACGACGCACCGCTCATGTATGTCCGCATTCAAGTTGGGCAAGCGTCCTGCAGCGCTTTGCTGGATAGCAGCGCGTCTCGCAATTTCACAAGCCAATCCTTTATGCAAACGGCTGACCTTGGCGCACAAGTTCGGAGGAAGGCAAACCCGACAGCGATCAAGTTGGCAGATGGAAAGACGCAGCATTTTCTCGACCGTTACATCGAGGCCGTACCGGTCTATTTCGCACCTCATGCATGCAAACTGGTGACATTCGATATTCTCGACACGGACTTCGACATCATTCTGGGAATGCCTTGGCTTGCAAGTGCGGATCACACGGTCAACTTCCACCGGCGGACTTTTCGCGTTCGCGACGCCTTCGGCGCGGAAGTGGCGTGTACTATTCCTCTACCGCACCCTTCGATTCGGTGCCAAGTGGTGACGGCCAAATCATTCCGGGCGACTTGCGCTTACGAGCGGCCCGAGGAGATCGGCCTATGTTTCCTACGGGCCATCGCGGTGGCCGACGCTTCACCCACGGACTTGTCTTCGGACCCCCGGGTGGTGCGGTTGCTGGATGAGTTCGCCGACATCTTTGAGTCACCTACCGGTGTGGTGTCGGACTGGCCGATCTATCACGAGATCATTCTTGAGGCCGGTGTCGTGCCACCGAAAGGTTGGATCAATCGCATGAGCGAGGAGGAACTTGAGGTCCTCCGCGCACAACTCGGCGATGTGTTGGCCAAGGGCTGGATCCGCCCTATCAGCTCCCCATATGGAGCACCGGTTCTCTTCGTCCGGAAGAAGAACAAGGATCTACGATTGTGTATCGACCACCGCAAGCTCAACGTGCAAACCGTCAAGAATGTGGGGCCTCTTCCTCGCAACGACGATCTTCTTGAGCGACTGAGTGGCGCAAAGTATTTTTCTAAGTTGGATTCGAAATCGGGATATCATCAAATCTCGATCACTACAAGTCCGCGTTAAAGATGCGGTATGGGCATTTTGAGTGGGTGGTCATGCCTTTTGGCCTCACCAACGCCCCGGCGACATTTCAAGCGGCAATGACCAATAAGTTTCGTGCAATGTTGGACCGGTTCGTGCTGGTCTACTGAGACGATATTCTCGTCTATAGCCGGTCATTGGAGGATCATCTTGGGCATTCGACGAGTGTTGGAGACGCTCCACCGCGCCAAGTACAAGGCCAACCGCGACAAGTGCAAATTTGTACGGCAAGAGTTGGAATACTTGGGCCATTTTGTCACACCGGAGGGCATCAGTCTGCTATCCGACAAGATCCAAGCCATCCAAGAGTGATCGGAGCCTGGGAACGTCACGGATGTCTGATCGGTCCTTGGTCTCGCCGGCTACTATCAGCGTTTCATGAAAGGCTACTCGAAGATCATGGCCCACTTGACCAAGCTTCAATGCGAGGATCGACCGTTTAACTTCAGAGAGGAGGCGCGGGAATCATTTTTGGCTCTCAAAGCCGCGCTATTGTCCGCGGAGGCCTTGCGGATATACGACCCGCTTTTGCCTACGCGCGTCACTACGGATGCGCCAGGCTATGGCATTGGTGCAGTCCTCGAGCAACATGATGGTGTGGACTAGCAACCGGTCGAGTATTTCAGCAAGAAAGTGCCTGTCGTGCATTCCATTGACGATGCACGCAAGAAGGAGCTCCTTGCSTTCGTCCACACGCTCAAGCGGTGGCGACACTTCCTCCTTGGTCGAAGCCAATTCCGATGGGTAACGGACAACAATCCGTTGGTCTTTTACAAGACCCAAGACACCGTCAACAGCACCATCACTCGATGGATGGCTTTCATCGACCAGTTCGACTTCTTTCCCGATCACATTCCCGTGAAGTCGAACCGTTTTGCGGATGCTCTTTCACGGCGTCCGGATCTTTGTACCGCGGTCTACTCAACCTTCGAGATGGACGATGATGCGGGACAGCTTCATCCGCGGTGACCAAGTCGACCCCGAGTTTCGCAACAAGTACGCAAATTGCTCCTCTCCTAATCCGGCGCCTTCTCACTACCGGATCCAAGAGGGTTTGCTTGTCCACACGCAAGGGAAGGACCTTCTTTGCGTACCGAGTGATCCTCACTTGTGTACTCGGCTTCTTGGCGAGTTCCACGATGCTCCCGCCACCGGAAACTTTGGAGTCAATCGCACGATTGGCCGACTTCGCCAGCGATTTTGGTGGCCCGACCTTCTCGGCGACGTCACTCGCTATTGCGAGTCATGCGAGGTTTGCCGACGCTGCAAATCCCGCAACCATCGTCCGTACGGTGAGTTACGACCATTACGGGTCCCGTTGAGGCGAAGCGAAGCGATTGCCATGGACATTACCGGCCCGTTCCCCAAGCACAAGACCGGAGTGGATGGGATTCTCACGGTGGTCGACCGACTCACCAAGTTCGCCATCTTCCTGCCTTGTCGCTATCATGCCATGGCACCGAAGTTGGCCGAGGTTCTTTACGCCGGTTGGGTTCGAACCAAGGGTTTCCCGAAGGACATCGTCTTCAACCGCGACACCCGGTTCATTTCCGATTTTTGGTTAGCGCTCATCAAGCAATGGGGCTCATGTCTCAAGCCCAGTTCAGCTCGCCACCCTCGGACCGATGGCCAAACGGAGAAGGCGCACTAGACCGCACAGGTTCTCCTTCGCACTCGCATTCGTCCGGACCAGAAGGACTGGGTTGAGCGGCTGCCTGTTGTTGAGTTGGCCTACAACTCTTCCATCCACCCGGCTATCGGGATATCGCCTTTCGAGTTCGAGCACGGCTCGCCGGTCACTTCACCGTTGGACACTATTACTCCACGAACGGCCGAGAGCGACGACCGTCTTCTTTTCTTGCGTCGGATGCAAGAGCTTCTTGTCAAGGCACGCGACCACATGGCTAAGACGCAGCAGCGCATGAGCCAGCAGGCCAATCGCCAGAGTCTTCCTTGCCCATTCCGCGTCGGTGACCTCGTTTGGGTTTCCGCAGCGGAATTCAGCCTTGAACAAGACATCTCTCGCAAGCTCCTCCCGAAACGGATGGGGCCTTGGCCGATCGTAGCGCCCGCTGGGGACGCACCCTAGGGACCTTCCTTCACGATTCAGGTGCCCGCCCACTTGCCCGTCTACCCAGTCTTAAATTGCTCCAGGTTGGCTCTATACACGCCAGCGGAACATGACGATTTTCCCAGGAGATGTTCGCAAGACCCACCCTCTATGGACGGTTTTCAGGAGGTCGGCGACATCATCATCCAGCGACGCCACGGCAACAGGCCAACCGATTATTTGGTGCATTTTGCATACTGCACACACCGAGCTGACCGGTGGTTGACCCGTGCGGAACTTCAAGCAACAGCGCCAGACGTTCTCCAACGCTATGAGTGCAAGATGCAAGGCAAGCCGGTCTCTTCGGCTCCTCGCCGCGCCCGTGTCCAGCTTCAGATCGTCGGCTCCGCCCTCGCCCAGGCTTGACCTCATAAGGAGGGGGGGGTGTTACAGGCTGCCCCTGCACACGAGGGCCATTTTCCAGGCCCTGCGTCCCTCAAGGCTGAAAACCAGTGCCTACAGGCCCCGTGAATGTTCAGCTCGAAAGCCTCAAAACACGGGCCTATAGTCCCTGTGTCGTTTCATACTAAAAATGGCAACAGCCTTTTTAGCCTGAAACGAAGGGCTGTTTCGGTCGTTCATCAGAACGACCGGCACTGAAACTCAGGCACCGAACCAGGGTTTCGGGAACAGGCTATTCTTAGCCTGTTCCCCACGCCAGCCTCAGCAGCTGCTGCAGAGCCAGCCACTGGCACACTTCGGCATTGGCAAGAGCAGCATCCTCGGCCTGGCTCGCCCTGCAGGCGGTCAGGAGGCAGGCCGAGGTTGTACATAGGGACTTCCCATGCACTTCACGGGGAGGCAGGAGGCAGTAGTAGTCTTCAGGATTCGGCAGCAGCACTCTGGAGGGAGCGCTGCAGGCGTAGTAGTAGCGTTAGCCTTAGTCTTCAGCGCTGGGCGCAGTAGGTAGCTGTAGTTTCCAGCGCTGGGCGCCATAGCTAGGATAACACTCGAGAGAGAGAGAGATTGGGCGGAGGCCAGAGGTACTTACCTGCAGCGCCGTTTCTCCAGCTTCATCTTCGAGGTACCTGCAGCACAGCGCCAACATCACAGGTTAGTATCTGGCTCGTAACAAAGAGAGAGAGTTCTTCTTCTTCCTCTTCTCAGTCCACCATCTCC